AATAAGCTCACCGTTAAGATATTGGATCCCGAATCGGCGTATCGTTTAGAAAGTGGTGGAGCCAATCGCCAGGTAGGAAACCCCAGGGCTGTCGCCGCGTTGAAAGGGCTACCAGGTGCACAACCACAAACTTCGTGCTCCTGATTAGATCTGGAGTATCGCCTGGCGCAGAGCTTGTAAGAAGGTAAGACACACGAGTAGTTCTTGATCTTCCGGGGGTGGTCCAGAGCCGTTTGTTTATTTCTTTCTTTGTTGGTGTCGCATCTTCAGGACGACATGGCGCTGGTGCCTAAACCACTGCACCTCCCTCCACCTCAGGTGCCGACTCCAGTTGGGCGCTGTTTCCTGGCTAAGACAAAGTTCACCAGCAATGTCCAAAACGATAGATGACCTGCTTCTATCGTAGAGGCCTGCTTTTACAACAAAAGTAGACCACCATGGGCTCAGAAAACCAGCAGTACGTTGTGGAGGACGAAATCGCTGCCTTCTTTCTCCAAGACGTCGATCCCCCGCGCAAGTTGCGATGCATTAGCCAGGGAGCTCGTTGACGGTGACCAAGTCGTTCCAGTCGCAGTGCAGGGAGCCTGCTCGTACACGGTATACGCTGGACCAAACCTTGGCCACATCGTTCAGTTTCGCCTCAAGACTCTCGGGCTGAAGGTGGAGACCGCGGCTCTTGCCCGACAGGTCTTCAACACCTTAGCGCCAGACGTATCGTTCAAGCAACAGCTCGGCGAAGACTGCACGACACCTAGGCGGGAGCCTCTACTCGTCTACGTCATGGCTCGTATGCGAGGGATAAGCTATCTGGACTTCAAACGCTTTCACAGATTTCCAGAAAACTCACCCGAGAGGAAAGCCTGTCGTAAGAACCCGATGCAGGATGTTGCAAGGTCTGCCGTAGCCTATCATCTGTACTGCGAGCTGTGCTGATCTTTTCTGACGTAGATTCTTTGCTCTTGCCTGGAAGACGCCGCAGGAGGTTGGCCGGACCGATTGCGATTGCATGGCTGAGATCTTCCAGAAAGAGCTTCAGATGCTGCTCATCGCGCTGCCCGACCAGCTTCACCGGTTATCCGCGCCACGTTGGCGTCATTGCCCAGCATCTTCTCCCTTCCCATGGTTCTTC